GAGGCCATCGCTAGTAGGTTGAAGGCCATCACTATTAGGTTGACTCATTTTTTCAGTATGTTGAAACCATTACTATTGGGTTGGAGGCAATGGCTAGTAGTTTGGAGGCCATCGCTCTTAGGTTGGAGGCCATTGTTATTATGTTCGAGGCCATCGCAGGTTGGAGGCCATCGCTAGTAGGTTGGAGGCCAGCACTATTTGGTTGACTCACTTCTTCAGCCCAGCCTTCTGAAACCAGAGGAATCAGTGGCGTACGTTGGTCTTCCGGGTCGGGTCCGCCATGTAAGAGTGGCAATGTGAGAACAGCCCGAGAAAAGGCCTTGCTACAGCCCGAGCTTTGCCGGCTGTACCCCTGGCAGTTCTGGAGGCCTGAGGCCAACACAAGAGAACCGTAAGCTGGCGACGATCTACTGTAAGCATTTTTGCTTTGGAAGAACCCGGGAAGGAAAGACACGGTGATGCACTGGTGGCTTTCGGAGATATCTTCCTGCTGGCTTGGCCTTCCGAGTAACGGATTCCTTGGCTCAAAGGCTCACCGAAAATGCCAAGACAATGGAGACATACTGACATACTGTATATTTTACTTTTACTTACAATACAATACATGTATATGCACGCCGTTTCCACATATTTTCACACATGCACTTCCTACTTGAGCCACACCCGTGCCATGTCACCCGAGGACCCGAAAGCTTGACAAGAACCGCATCAAACCACAACCGTGATGATGGCCTAGGCACCAGCAACGCCCTACTCAGTCTTCGGATGTTGACCGGTTTCGGCGACCATGTTCTCATAGAAGGGCGCCAGATGTTCGCACCAGCATCTTCGCCACATGGACCAGCGCATCCTCATTTGCTGCAGCCCAAGCGACACTCATGCTGCTAGAGTTGCATTCAACAAGTTAGTGATTGGATCTTGAATGTAAGCAGAGTATCAGAAGAGATCCACCAGCCAGGTACCGCCTTGGACACGGATCATTTGAACAAGTGCCTTCCAGGGGAGGTGCTGAGTGTGTTGGGCATTGTTTGCACAACATCATTGCAGTCATACCAATTGAATCAAAGACCGTCCAGGGTTCAGAACGTTCAGCGGCTGTTGAGTTTTAGCTGACAAATGGTTCAAAATTGTTCAAATCTTCCCTGCGACTATCAGAAATCATGAGCCTTTGTCAAGGGAACAGGTAACGTATATAAATATATATATATATACACATTGTAGTGGTATCAGTCATCAATTTTTGTTGTTTTTTCTTTTTCCGTTGTTGCCTGTCATGGATTGCAATCTCAGATTGGGCATTTGGGCGCTCTCATGCAAAAGAAATACAACAACCAAACTGCGTAGCATCATAGAACACATTATAGAAATATTCACGCAACCAGGAGCAGCAGTGATGCTGGTTCTTTGGCAGAAGGCCGCTGCCCCACTGATGGACGTGCACTTGTTTTGGAGAGTCAATTCTCCGTCAGACCATGTTTCTCCAAGCTGCGCAGGCAGCTCAACGTGTCCGAACGCAGCAGAGTGCCTCGCGGATGCGGAGCAATGTTCACATCAACAGGAGTCTGCCTGACTTCGAATGTGCTGAGCGACATGTAGAAACTGATTGGCAGGCAACTAGCTGGCCTGTAGTAAGCAGAAGACATCTTGGAGCTGTGCGCAAGGCGGGCCCCCGGCTGTACCATGACTTGAAATTGACTTTGACCTAATTTGACGTGAATTGATGTGAATTGTCAGGCTGAGAGGCTGAGACGATGAAGAAGTTAGTTCAATCCACCCCTTAAGCTTTGGAGGTCACTGGCAGAGTTCAACAGCATCAATATTGCCTCAGCGTTCTACAAGTTGGCGAGGTGTCGTGTGGGTTGCTAAGTTGATGCAGAACAGTTGCTAATGCTAATCCATGAGCAGAAAAGCATCGACCATGTCCGACCATGATTTTTTCCTTTGCTTCTGATCACCGGCACATGTCACCGCGCAGTAAGGAGGATCACACACGCAGTAATACGACGGGCCTGCTCTTTGGGTTTGCGGACGTAGCTCCCATGAGCATTGCACCGAGGATGCTAGAGCTGCGATCGCAGCAGACCCGAGAGCTTTTGAATCATTGGTGCAAGCGGCAGAGGCCAAAGGGCCACGGATGTGTCGGATGTGTCAGCGAAGGCAAGCTCTTGGTGTTCTTCCAGAGGAGCCAAGCTTTCAGCCCACCATTGTGCACCGTCTGCACACGCAGGTTCCGTTGTGGACCTTAAAAGTGGCCGTTGATAAGAACATTACAGCTTACTGGTACTGTGTGAACTTGCTCACAGTCAAATAGGAGGTTGATTCTCATTAGAGGGTTATCCAATATTATCCAATAAAGTTACCTTTTTCAGCCTCCTATCGCGCCCCCTTCGCGACTGCAAACAAGCACTGGCTTTGCTTTGGAGAAAGCTGCTGACTTGCACAGTAAACTGCGTTTTGGCAGCAACCCTGTCGTTAAGGATTCTGGTGTTTCGGGAGTCTTTTTTGGTTGCGTGATGCACACAGCGCCAGTACAGTTTGGCTCAGATTCATAAGAGACTCCCAAACAAAGGGAAGGGCTGCTATAGTTTTTTCTTTTTTGAAGGCACATCAATCCCAGATTATCAGATCTGAGCATGGCAGGTAGAATCCTCAAAAGCACTGAAGTCACAAATTACACCCTGGGAACTACCGTGGGGACCCCTGAATGGACCTAAAACTACACTATGCAATGCAGTCAGTTTGGATCTGCACACTTCCACCGTGACTCGCACCCATGATGGGAGCCGTGAGGGGTATCATCAGAAATTGTATATCCGGAATCACATCTTGCTAATCACAACCAGACGCAGTTCCCTATTTGCAGGCTTGACATTTCAAAGAACACAAAACCTGCGTCGTGGCCCGCGCGATGCGACGGCAAAACCGAGAAAGCCAAGAAAACCAGAAAACCGAGAAAACCGTTCTCGCGCTTTGCCGTGTGGAAGTTTTTTCCAGTTTTCTTACGTCTTCTTGCTTGTCTTGTCTTTGAGCGTGAAAACGAGAAAAGCGAGAAAACGCGTTTTCCCGTTTTCGCTGTTTTCCCGTTTTCGCCGCTTTCGTCGTTTTCGCCGTTTTCGTCGTTTTCGCCGTTTTCGTCGGTTTCGCCGTTTTCCCGTTTTCGTCGTTTTTGCCGTTTTCGCCGCTTTCGTCGTTTTCGCCGTTTTCGCGTTTTCGCGGTTTTCGCCGTTTGCATGTTTTTGTCGTTTTGG